TTTTAAATATATGAAATTTATATTAGGACAAATTAATAAGTTAACTCGTTAAGTTAGAAGTTGTTTAAAAAAAAAGAAACTCGTTAAGCTGGAAGTTACTTTTGAAAATAAAAGTAACTCGTTAAATAACTTAGTTAAAAGTAACTTAACTTTAACTTTTTAACTCGTTAATGCCCAGCCTTGGTAAAAAGTAACTCAAATTGTTGATTTGTTGATGCTCGCCCTGTGACAATATCATTGTGCTCATTGTGTATGATGTTTATTATTAATATTGACCATCGGTGTGGCGTGTCATCCCACAGGTGGCGTGCACCAACTGGAAACGGGTGTTCATGGTGCTGTCGGGGAACGCGCAGCCAGGCGCGCCGGACCTGTCACAGATCCCGGCGGACGTGGTGCACAAACCCAGCACGCTGGACAGGCTGAGCGACTATCCGGCGGCCCGGGCGGCCGACATGCTGGCCACGTACACCAAGTTCCTGTTCGTCCGGCACCCGTTCGAGCGACTGCTGTCCGCATACCGGAACAAGCTTGAGCAGCGGCACCAAGACAGTTCGCGGTACTTTCAGTCGCGGTTCGGGCGGCGCATCGTACGGCGGTACCGAGTCAACGCCACTGAGCAGTCGCTGCGGGACGGCGACGACGTGACGTTCGCCGAGTTCGCCGCGTTCGTGGCCGACACCCGCGACACGGTGTTCAACGAGCATTGGGCGCCCATCGACAGGCTGTGCCGGCCGTGCGCCGTCAACTACGACTTTATCGGCAAACACGAGTCGCTGTTCGAGGACTCGGACTACCTTCTCCGGCACGTTGTGGGTGCGACCGACGTCCGGTTTCCGAAGGGTCCCGACTCCAACACGTCCACGCAGCTGGTCAAATACTTCACATCGCTGGACCACGACACCGTTCTCCGGCTGTACAGCACGTTTGAGCTCGACTTCAAGCTGTTCAACTATAATTTGCAAAACATCTTTGGCTACGAAGTGGGCTAAGGGCAGACACTGTGTATTATAGGCTATCCGACAAACACGCTGCAACTGACGCACGTGTATATTATATACCTATACCCACTACATTAAAGTGCAGTAAGCGTTGCACACGACCACAAAGTGCAGGTGCCGCAGCACTGATGATGTGTGTAATATCGAGTATATATTATCATCATAAATATATATTTGTTTTAATTATTATTATTATATATTTATATATTATTATCTGTACATGTATACACATGCAATCGCGAAAATACTTGCCTGAGGATTTTCTATATCCCTTTATGTGGTGTATCTTAKAAGTTTACCTATCCTGTATAATATGTTATGTACATATGTATAAAAAAATAACAATTTAATAAATTATAACTATTTATTGCTATACACGTTTTTGACCGATTAAAAATTTTAAAATTTTAAAAAACGAGGTCAACAATTTTGACTACGGGTTGATACGCAGGTATTAAAGTAACAGATATTATTCTAAGAAATTACCAAGGGAAATATCAGCTAAATTCTTCTATGAATATAAATAATAACTATCACGAACTTTTTTTTTAAAGTAACTTCTCAGAATAGTCTATAAATATGGATGTGTTTCATACACATAACTTTTTTAGCGGAGAATATTTTAAGATTTTCTTAAGAATATTCATAAATTTTGCCACGACAGTTGTATGATGCGTTCGAGTGCCCGTGTCTCTATACTCGTATAATTTGCAATTGATTTCATTGTATCGTCTCTTGCTAATCCGATTGGGTAATATTATATAAATAGCTATCCGTTCAATGCTTTTTAAAATGTTCTTCCATATTTGCTAAGTATGCATTAATACAAATATTATTGTTTGTATATGCATTCTATCAATACAATTAATATTATTTAAAATATAATGATTTTATACAATTATGCATATATATCTAAACACCTAGTACAATAATGCGTTTAAGTATATTATTAATTTTAATTTCAAGATAAAATATTCTGTTGCCCTAGTTGATATGACAATACCTGTTATAATATATACAGGTTGAATCACACTGTATATTGTAATTCTTAATTATTAGTGTAAACGTGTTGACGCGTGAAGTGTAAATATTAGCAGCAACCGGATAAATTATAATATAGTATACCTATACCTACTCTCAAATTATACCAACACGCATTTTGTGTACCTGTTTGTGTCTATTTTGTCTATACTACGATACTATAAGCGAAAAGCGACCTKTKWTATATTATGTAGGTGCATTTGAATCTGTTGTTAATTTACAAAATATGTACTATACGTTTATACCTATTTATTATTTAAATGAATCATACGATTTTTACAACACAGTGTATTTTTAATTTTAATATACTATAAATAATACGATTAATTTATATTGTTATTAATTGTAACATCGAACATGCCTAAATAATATATGCAATAAAATTCTTTATATCTGTCATCAACGCGTATATTTTATAATCATGCATTAACCTAATCTATTTCAGAGACATAGTTCAATATTATGCTTTTACAAAAACTTATAACAGTCAAGTAATACAATTATTTATTGTAATATTTGATGAAATAATTAAATTCGTATTATCGTACAAACTTAAAATGTACTTATTTAAATTTTAGATAAAAAAAGATGATATTGTCGGATTATAATAATGTAACACTAATTTGGCAAGTAATATGGATTTATTGTTAGAACAAGATCCTGATTCATTAACAATGATRGATTGTAGGTACTGAAGTCTGAAAAAAAKATAAATAAATTTACACTTATAGGGATTACTTATTGGAACAACTATTAAAAAAGCGGGTAAGTCGTCGATATCACTCTAATTCTACAGTAGGTTACAAGTGGGTTACTGTAATGTACAGTGGCGGCTCTAGGGGAGGGGCCAAGGGGGCAATGCCCCCCCCCCGAAATCCATAAAAAAAAAAAATAGGCGAGTTTAATATAATATGATACGCTTTTATTATTACGGATTATATCGTTTATAATATCATTATATTATTTCGGGTTTTCCCGTGGCCGACCGCGATAGTATCCATCTGAACTGACCTTTTTTCTATTGTGAGTGTTTTATCGTCGGCGGCGTTTAGATATGAATTGTTCCGAGAATTCTCTATGTATTTTATGTGTTCAGACGTTTTTCGTAGTTCAGAGTAATATCGTTTTAATGATTCATTTTACAACAGCGATTTTAAGCGACCAGACGACCAATATRGTTACCATAGTAAAAAATTTAATCTCCGGCTTGCAATTTACGTTGTAATGGTACGTATTATTTTAGCATATAAAATTATWTGATTAATTTCTTTACTCTAAACTCTTTATTTGATTTCAATAAGTATTTACTGTATTATAACCACGGTTTATTATAGTATAGCGTATTAGCGTGATTATAACATTAGAATTTTTAGATTATTAATTAGATTAAAAAAAAAATGTTTTTATGATTAATGTTTTCAATAATTACTATAAAATATAGTACATAATATGTGTTTTAAAGTTGTTTAAACTACTGTAAGCCATTTTATACGGTACCTACCTTACATTTTTAAATATTTTGACTCTCCAAAATTTTTTTTATCAACTTTTTTAAAATAAAACTTAAAAACCAAATATTTCAAATTCTTATAAATAGCTTAAAAATGATCGAAATATTTTGAAAATTAATGTATGTAAAGAAAATTCCAATTTAAGCATTTTGTAAAAGTTTAAAGTTTCTACGGATAGTACCTACTTTTTTATAGTACTGATAATGATATAATTAAATCTACTGAGACTAACGCTAATGCTGGTGAGCCATCAACGATATCTACAACCAGCCCTACTAAAATTGAGAAA